CCAGGGCAGCCTGAAGAGGCGTGGACTTCCACTCCCAGAATTCCTCATCAGGCATTAAGGTGTGTGGACTTCAACTCCCAGGATGCTGACTGGGGAATTCTGGGAGGGGAAATCCACGCCTCTTCAAGCTGCCAAGGTTGAGAAACACTGCCCTGGACCCCTCTGAGTCCCCCCCCCCATCCCAAAAGAGTACCATGCTGAAATACGTCCCCAAACTTACAAATGACCGAGCAGATGGGCCCGACTCTATACTGGGTGCCGTACAGCGACGTCAAGGCGTTAGCGGCTGATTTTCCCAGCGTATCCTGGGAAAAAAATCAGAACTGTAGCATCTGGATTCCCTTGGAAGCAGAGATACCGACACACCATGGGGGTCAAAAAAGGCAAGATGGCGGCTACGATGCTGCAGCCGAATCTCTCTCTCTCTCTCTCTCTCTCTCTCTCTCTCACACACACACACACACACACACACATTTTTTTATATGCGTGGACTTTGTTAGTCCACTAGGATCAGAATCGTGCAAGCCGTGGTGTTTCCCGTGTTAAGCGAATCATGCAGTCGTTAAGTGATTCTGGCTTCCCCCGTTGACTTTGTGGGAAACTGGCTGGGAAGTTCACAAATGACGATCTGGGACACTGCAACCGTCATAAGTACATGCCAGTTGCCAATCCTTCACATTTTGATGGACATGACCATGGGGGATGCTGAAGCAGGTATATGTGTGAAAACTGGTCATACGTTACTCACTTAACAGCTGCAGTGATTCATTTAACCACTGTGACAAGAAAGGTCATTAAACGGGGCAAAGGTCACTTCACAATTGTCTTGCTTAGTCACAGAAATGTTGGGGCTCAATTGTGGTTGTAAGTCAAGGACCTACCTATATTTGACTACCTCCTAGCGACCTAGCCAATAATATTAAGTCTACCAAATCTGCACGGCAAAAATTCGTGCTATCATTAGGGGGCAGCAGAGAGTTCTTTTCCCGTATCTCTTTTGTGCCATCTAGTGGTGATCTGTCGTTCGGCAGCACAGATCTGGTAACCCCTGAACTAAAAAAAAATCAACAGGATGGCTGGCTGGACGGGTGTAAAAACTAAGCGGGGGAAAAAAAGCAAAACCTAATTAAAATTAACTTGTGTGGATGCAGATGACCTGTGGAAACAGCCGCTCAGCCGAACCGCAAGCCAACCTACGGGGGCCGCAGCCCCGTGAACCCGGAGCCTTACCAGTTCTTCCGCGTCTTTAGGCTTGGTGCATTTATAGCCGTAGGGGTACATTAGAAGCTGGGAGTAGCTGTGGATGCTGATAAACGCCTTGACGTTCCCGTGCCTCTTCACGAAATCCACAACGGAGCGAACTTCGACTTCCGAGTTGGCGCTGGGTCCACGGTAGGAATCGGAACAGGGGTCGCTGCTGGCGCCGGGTCCTGCCATGGTGGGAAATGCAAACGCACCCGGTCAAAACACAACAAGAATCCAAATGTCTGTGGAGGTTCTCAGTCGTCCCAAAGGTGCTTTTTTCACGAGGCAACTGGACTTTTTTATTTGAAGACGTTTCGCTTCTCATCCAAGAAGCTTCTTCGGCTCTGACTGGATGGTGGGGAATGGAAGGATTTATACTCCTTGCAGACAGCTGGTCATTTGCATCCTTTTAGAGGGTCGTTGAGGCCACTTGGGGATTTACCTGTGTCCTTAGGGTCACCCGAGTGGTGCAAATGGCTGTGGAGCCTTCTTGGAACTGCTGAAAGGGTTGGGACACCCATTTGCACCACTCAGGTGACCCTGACGACACAGACAAACCTCCAAGTGGCTTCAATGACCCTCTAAAAGGATGCAAATGACCAGCTGTCTGCAAGGAGTATAAATCCTCCCACTCTCCACCATCCAGTCAGATCTGAAGAAACTTCTTGGATGAGAAGGGAAACGTCTTCAAAGAAAAACAAGGAAGTCCAGTTCCCTCCTAGGTAATCCTCGACTTACAACTCTTCATTTAGCGACTGTTCAAAATTACAACGGCACCGTAGAAAGTGACTTACAACCCATATTCCCACTTATGACCATCACAGCATCCTCATGGAGCAGTTTTTGAATTTTTCCCCCTATTTCTCTGGCACAGGTGGACTTGTAATGCTTGCTTTCTGCCACCAGGTGGCAACAGAGTACTGTTTGCATCCGTATGTGTTTGGCCTTCTTCAACCTGGTCAGTTTTAAGTAAGTGGAGGACTACACTACGACAATTAAAACACACACCACACAGGTAGTCCTCCACGTACGGCCACAACTGGGCCCCAAATTTCTGTTGCCAGGTGAGGCGATTGTTAATGGAGTTTTGTCCCATTTTTACGACCTTTCTTGGCACAGTTCTTAAGTGAATCATCGCAGTTGTTAAACTTAGTAACACACTTGTTTGTGGTTCCTGTTGACTTTGCTTGTCAGAAGTTCGCAAAAGGGGATCCCTTGACCCCGGGGCACCGCAACCGTCACAAATGTGAGTCAGTTGCCGAGCGTCTGAACTTTGATCGCGTGACCAGAATGCTCGTAAGTGTGAACACCGTCATAAGTTGCTCTTTTTCAGTGCCGTTGTTACTTCAAACGGTCACTAAGTGAACTGTCGTAAGTCGAGGACTACCTATACCAGTCCAGCCAATTCAAGAACTCGCTCCAGGGAAAGCGGTGCCCCGTTTACCTCCAAAACCCGCATCCCAGTTTCGGTTGGGATCAACTCCAACACACTGGCTGCCCGGTCGTCTGGACCGGGTTTTTCGCCACATACGATTCTGGATGCGGAAGAGAAAGTGGTGCCATTAGAAGCGACAACAAACCAAGAATGAACGTCATTGAAGAAGACTGAGAGACTCTATTTTATTTATTTATTTATTTATTTAATTACATTTATATCCCGCCCTTCTCCTTGCGGACTCAGGGCGGCTGACAATAGATAAAATGCTAACATGTTATACATCTAATTAAAAATCGATTAAAAAGAAATATTTAAATACGTCCAATTTAAAAGTAATTAAAACCCCTTTAAAATCCCTTAGGCCAGTCCCGCGAGCTGGNTTCAGGTGCTTTGGAGAAGAGGTTGACCCCCAAATATTGGAAGATATTATGTCTCCCTTAGTCCTTCTTTATAACTTGGTTATAAGTAATCAAACCAACTGTCTTCCCTCAATTTACCAAGCCCCAATAAAACTAATCACTAGAAGATCATTGTTGGATATGTTGAAGGAAAAGTCTAAATCAGGGTCCAGTCCAAGCCGGGAATAAACAACACGGTGACTGCTTTAGAAAGAAGGTTGCAGTTTATTGAAGAGCAGAGCCAGACAGAAACGTGGCTCTGGGGCAACTGACCACATGGAGCTGGGAGTGGTGGGTTTTTATACCTTGTTGGGCTTTTGTGTTTGGAGTTGTTCCTGTTTGAGGCTTTGTATTTCCTGTGTCATGTACTTTGACCTGAGTCTGAGTGTGCCCTTTTGGTATTGTTGGGTTAATATTATATCTTGTCTTAGAGTTTGGGTGGGGTATGTAGATTTTAGGTGTCTTTGTCTTCTTAATCTTCTAGGTTCTAGCTGGAGGGCTTCACCTTCCTGAATGGATTATTACATCTGCATTTCTACAGAGCTGGTTTCTGCTTGGTGGAGGGAGACTTGGGGCTATTAAGAAAAAAACTGGGCATGCTTTTCTACCTCTTTTAAGATCCTTTGAGGAAATATAATATTCTGCCCTTTTAATATTTTTTTCTTGGGGGGGGCGACTTCCCACAGATACGAGATGGGTGGCATATACATTTTATCAATCCATCCATCCATCTCTACAGCTCAGGGTTGAATCCTTGGTGCTCTCTGAGTTGTGGTCCCCTTTTTCAACCTTCTGACGAGCCAAGTCCACGGGGGACTTAAGAGCTGCAGCGATTCACTTAACAACTGTGTAAAGAAAGTTTGTAAAATGGGGCAAAACTGACTTAACAAGCATCTCGGTTAGCAATGGAAACTTGGGGCTTGACTGTGATTGTAAGTCAAGGACTGCCTGAATACCCAAAGTAAGAGCACAAGTCACCTCATTCAGAGCCTCAGAGTGAAGAAAAACTATGACAAAGTCCAAAAGGCAACTGGAATCAGGATTTATTGAGAAAACTGCAGAAGAACCATCTGAAGAAGGTTTAATCCAAAATCTTGGATGTCTCCTCGTCTCAGAAGCCACAGGAGAATTATAACGAAAAGAGGAAGATTTAGATCTGGGCAATATTTGCCTTCATTCCTTAATGCAGTGTTTCTCAACCTTGACAATTTTAAGGCATGTGGACTTCAACTCCCAGAATTCCACAGCCAGCATTGCTGGCTGTGGAATTCTGGGAGTTGAAGTCCACATGCCTTAAAATTGTCAAGGTTGAGAAACACTGCCTTAATGCAAGAACAGGGGTCTCCAAACTCGGCAACTTTAAGACATGTGGACTTCAACTCCCAGAATTCACCAGCCAACATGGCTGGCTGGGGAGTTCTGGGAGTTGAAGTCCACAAATCCTAAAGTTGCCGAGTTTAGAGATTCTGGGCTAGAGCATTTTTGCTCAGTGGCCTGCAGACAAGCTGGGACTCCAACTCCCAGAATTCTGGGCATGCTGGGCAATGTAGTCCCAATCCACTCAGGCAAGAAACTTGCTGCTAAATATGCCTCCCTGTCTTTTAAAGGATTCTGGGAATTGTAATCCAAACACACCAGAGGCCACCATGATGGGATCGTACTGTATTTAATAAGTTAGGCATATCAGATCTGGGCCGCAAAAAAATTAGTGACCACTAGGGGGCAGCAATTGCATAGAGATTTCTGCACCTCTGCTGCCCCCAGTGGCCATCATCTGAACTGATTGGTAATTATTTAAAATCTGATTTTTTTCCCCCTTTTGGGGGCATCTAAAGGGATCTGTCGCTCCTGTAATCGACTTTTTGCTAGCATCAGAATATGAAGCCAAAATCCTGTCTTCTCCCAGATCTTCTTCGTTCTCAGTAGGGGTGATCACGCACGTGCTCCATGATCTTTTTCAGCCCCAGCCACGTCTCCTGAGCGGTGGGGATGATCTGTTTGGCCGGCAGGAGGAAACCGTGGCGCCCCGTGTCTCTCAGCTCCAAGGCGAAGGAGTACTTGATCCCGTAATCGTAGCTCCAGTCGATGCTTCCACCACTGGCCTGGTCTGGAATGAAGAACACAGGAAAACATGGGTCTAACCAAACTCAGTAGGTTGGGATCTCTACCCTGCAAGGGCATCGGAGTCTTAGATCAGGGTCTTCAAACTTGGCAACTTCAAGACTTGTGGACTTCAACTCCCAGAATTCCCCAGCCAACATGGCTGGCTGAGGAATTCTGGAAGTTGGTCCACAGGTCTTAAAGTGGCCAATTATGGAGAGCCCTATCTTAAGACAAATCTAGAACATCTGCACCATCTTCCAGATGAGCAGACTGTGGCTGTCCCAAAACACCTGGACAGCATAAAGGTCATGAGGTTCTACACCCTGCGTTTCCATTCGCACAACCTTCTTAACAAAGTGGTTGAATTAATGTTTGTTCTGGATGTTAGAGGATCTATTGGGTTATATGCCAACGGGCTACATTCATCCAGAAGAATAGGGAACCTCCCAAACGATCCAGGTTAAAACTAACCCAGCTTCGTATGTGGTAGGAATGCATCTGCTAAGTCTTGACCTGGACTGTTAAGCACGGTAGGTTGTCTAAATAGGGGGTTCAAAAGAAGGGGGGAGAGAAAAAAACGGTTCAATTTAAACAGACCAATTTTTTTTAAAATTTTGTTATCCTGTAGATGCCCTGTGGATTACAGATACCATCCTGATAAATTTTATATATATCTGGATAGGTGGATAGCTGGATGGATGGATGGATGGATGGATGGATGGATGGGTGGATAGATAGATAGATAGATAGATAGATAGATAGATAGATAGATAGATAGATAGATAGATAGATAGATAGATAGATAATTAGAGAGGGGATAGATAAATAAAATTTGTATATATCACTCTATCTGTCTATCTATCTATCTATCTATCTATCTATCTATCTATCTATCATCCATTTACCTATCATTCATATACATATATATATATGTATATATGTATATATGTATGTATGTGTATATGTATACACACATACAATCTATCCATCTGTCATCTTCTATATATACAGTTTCCTGCAACAGGGCAAGGCCTGAGTATCTTCTAAAGGTACTACACTGTCCATAATCCTCTAAAAATGCAATGGGCTGTGACTTCATCTGCACAGACCTATGTTTCGCACCCAGGGCAGCCTGAAGAGGCGTGGACTTCCACTCCCAGAATTCCTCAGCAGGCATTAAGGTGTGTGGACTTCAACTCCCAGGATGCTGACTGGGGAATTCTGGGAGGGGAAATCCATGCCTCTTCAAGCTGCCAAGGTTGAGAAACACTGCCCTGGACCCCTCTGAGCCCCCCCCATCCCAAAAGAGTCCCATGCTGAAATACGTCCCCAAACTTACAAATGACTGAGCAGATGGGCCCGACTCTATACTGGGTGCCGTACAGCGACGTCAAGGCGTTAGCGGCTGATTTTCCCAGCGTATCCTGGGAAGAAAATAAGAACTGTAGCATTTGGATTCCCTTGGAAGCAGAGATACCGACACACCGTGGGGGTCAAAAAAGGCAAGATGGCGGCTACGACGCTGCAGCCGAATCTCTCTCTCTCTCTCTCTCTCTCTCTCTCTCTCTCTCTCTCTCACACACACACACACACACACACACACACACAAACTTTTTTTATATGCGTGGACTTTGTTAGTCCACTAGGATCAGAATCGTGCAAGCCGTGGTGTTTCCCATGTTAAGCGAATCATGCAGTCGTTAAGTGATTCCGGCTTCCCCCGTTGACTTTGTGGGAAACTGTCTGAGAAGCTCACGAATGACGATCCGGGACACTGCAACCGTCATAAGTACATGCCAGTTGCCTTTGCCTTCACATTTTGATGGACATGACCATGGGGGATGCTGCAGCAGGTATGTGTGAAAACTGGTCATAGGTTACTCACTTAACAGCTGCAGGGATTCATTTAACAACTGTGACAAGAAAGGTCATTAAATGGGGCAAAGCTCACTTCACAATTGTCTTGCTTAGCCACAGAAATGTTGGGGCTCAATTGGGGTTGTACGTCAAGGACCTACCTATATTTGACTACCTCCTAGCGACCTAGCCAATAATATTAAGTCTACCAAATCTGCACGGCAAAAATTCGTGCTATCATTAGGGGGCAGCAGAGAGTTCTTTTCCCGTATCTCTTTTGTGCCATCTAGTGGTGATCTGTCGTTCGGCAGCACAGATCTGGTAACCCCTGAACTAAAAAAAAATCAACAGGATGGCTGGCTGGACGGGTGTAAAAACTAAGCGGGGAAAAAAAGCAAAACCTAATTAAAATTAACTTGTGTGGATGCAGATGACCTGCGGAAACAGCCGCTCAGCCGAACCGCAAGCCAACCTACGGGGGCCGCAGCCCCGTGAACCCGGAGCCTTACCAGTTCTTTCGCGTCTTTAGGCTTGGTGCATTTATAGCCGTAGGGGTACATTAGAAGCTGGGAGTAGCTGTGGATGCTGATAAAGGCCTTGACGTTCCCGTGCCTCTTGACGAAATCCACAACGGAGCGAACTTCGACTTCCGAGTTGGCGCTAGGTCCACGGTAGGAATCGGAACAGGGGTCGTTGCTGGCGCCGGGTCCTGCCATGGTGAGGAATGCAAACGCACCCGGTCAAAACACAACAAGAATCCAAATGTCTGTGGAGATTCTCAGTCGTCCCAAAGGTGCTTTTTCACGAGGCAACTGGACTTTTTTATTTGAAGACGTTTCGCTTCTCATCCAAGAAGCTTCTTCGGCTCTGACTAGATGGTGGGGAATGGAAGGATTTATACTCCTTTGCAGAAAGCTGGTCATTTGCATCCTTTTAGAGGGTCGTTGAGGCCACTTGGGGATTTACCTGTGTCCTTAGGGTCACCCGAGTGGTGCAAATGGCTGTGGAGCCTTCTTGGAACTGCTGAAAGGGTTGGAAACACCCATTTGCACCACTCAGGTGACCCTGAGGACACAGACAAACCTCCAAGTGGCTTCAACGACCCTCTAAAAGGATGCAAATGACCAGCTGTCTGCAAGGAGTATAAATCCTCCCACTCTCCACCATCCAGTCAGATCTGAAGAAACTTCTTGGATGAGAAGGGAAACGTCTTCAAAGAAAAACAAGGAAGTCCAGTTGCCTCCTAGGTAATCCTCGACTTACAACTCTTCATTTAGCGACCGTTCAAAATTACAACGGCACCGTAGAAAGTGACTTACAACCCATATTCCCATTTATGACCATCACAGCATCCTCATGGAGTATTTTCTGATTTTTTTACCCCCTATTTCTCTGGCACAGGTGGACTTGTAATGCTTGCTTTCTGCCACCAGGTGGCAACAGAGTACTGTTTGCATCCGTATGTGTTTGGCCTTCTTCAACCTGGTCAGCTTTAAGTAAATGGAGGACTACACTACGACAATTAAAGCACACACCACACAGGTAGTCCTCCACGTACAGCCACAACTGGGCCCCAAATTTCTGTTGCCAGGTGAGACGATTGTTAATGGAGTTTTGTCCCATTTTTACGATCTTTCTTGGCACAGTTCTTAAGTGAATCACCGCAGTTGTTAAACTTAGTAACACACTTGTTTGTGGCTTCCTGTTGACTTTGCTTGTCAGAAGTTCACAAAAGGGGATCCCTTGACCCCGGGGCACCACAACCGTCACAAATGTGAGTCAGTTGCCGAGCGCCTGAACTTTGATTGCGTGACCAGAATGCTCGTAAGTGTGAACACTGTCATAAGTTGCTCTTTTTCAGTGCCGTTGTTACTTCAAACGGTCACTAAGTGAACTGTCGTAAGTCGAGGACTACCTATACCAGCTCCAGCCAATTCAAGAACTCGCTCCAGGGAAAGCGGTGCCCCGTTTACCTCCAAAACCCGCATCCCAGTTTCGGTTGGGATCAACTCCAACACACTGGCTGCCCGGTCGTCTGGACCGGGTTTTTCGCCACATACGATTCTGGATGCGGAAGAGAAAGTGGTGCCATTAGAAGCGACAACAAACCAAGAATGAACGTCATTGAAAAAGACTGAGAGACTCTAGATTGATGCTCGTTAATCTTGGGAACTTTAAGAGGAGTGGACTTCAACTCCCAGAATTCCTCAGCCCGCTAGATTGACGCTCGTTAACCTTGGGAACTTTTAAGAGGGGTGGACTTCAACTCCCAGAATTCCTCAGCCCGCTAGATTGATGCTCGTTAACTTTGGGAACTTTAAGAGGGGTGGACTTCAACTCCCAGAATTCCTGGGAGTTGAAGTCCACTCCTCTTAAACTTCCCCAGATTGACATATATTGATCTAGATTGAAAGACGAGCCATCGCGTTGTAACTGGTGATCAGATACTCACTGTGGTGTGAGAGTAGACGTATCCGTCGGGATTTGCAACCACCAGCAGGAAAATATCCATTTTGTTGAGGAGGGAGGTCAGTGAGGGTTCTTTCCCAAAGTCAGAAGCGATCTGGGGAGGCAAAAAATAAAATAAAATTCAACATGGGGCGCAACTCCAGGGACCCCACTTTCTTTGGGGGAAAAGTCCCCCATCTCCCTCGCAAGCATGCTTTTGCAGCTGTCGACCGTTCTCAGAAACCCTTTGTGGGTTCACACCCAACTTTCATACACACTCCAGCTTGGGAGGGGTGAGGGCTTTATTTCTGTGGGGGGGGTGTCAGACCCGTGCCCATAACTCTATGTCTTTGCCCGGTGAAAGCCTTGTTTTACACCCCCAAAATACTCCCATTTCCTTGTACACTAAAGCGAGTTTTGTTCCATCTTTATTTTTGCACTTTCTTTGAGGAATAATGTCGTGGGTGTATACACCAACCTGGGAGATTTTGCAATCTCAGCAAAGTAGCTGATCAGCCCCTCTTTGCACCCCGATACCCAAGTGTTCCTCGACTTTCAACAGTTCATTTAGGGACCGTTCAAAGTTACGACGGCACCGAACAAAAATGACTTATGACCGTTGCCGCATCCTCCGGGTCACGCGATCAAAATTCAGACGCGTGGCAACTGACTCATATTTATGACGGTTTGCAGTGTCCCGGGGTCACATGATCTCCTTTCGCGACCTTTGTCACCTAACCCGAGAGGCCGGGGCCAGTCCCAAAAGTGGGCGGGGCCAGACACAACCCCCTCCCACCGTAGCCATTCCGTACCAACTGACCTTTTTAGCGGTCCAAAGAGCCGTGGCCTGGGTCACCCATTCTCGCGCGTGAATGCCGGCATCAATCCAGATGGCAGGGCGTTTGTTTCCCCCGGTGCTGAACTGTCGGACAGAATGTGGACTTTACAAATAATCCTTTTTTAAACAAAAAAAATTGCAACAAAGCGGCGCCACAAAACGGTAATACTGTGATTACTGTAATACTGTAATACTGGTATCACTGTGACGGTGATACCGTCAAATAAAATATCAGTAAAATCTAAAACTAAATCTAAATCTAAACTGGATTAAATGTATCCCATTAGAGCAGGGGTCTTCAAACTTGGCCCTTTGATGACTTGTGGACTTCAACTCCCAGAATTCCTCAGCCAGCCTCCATTTTGTTTGTTAGATTTAAGACAGGGGTCTTCAAACTTGGCCCTTTGATGACTTGTGGACTTCAACTCCCAGAATTCCTCAGCCAGCCTCCATTTTGTTTGTTAGATTTAAAACAGGGGTCTTCAAACCTGGCCCTTTGATGACTTGTGGACTTCAACTCCCAGAATTCCTCAGCCAGCCTCCATTTTGTTTGTTAGCTTTAAGACAGGGCTCTTCAAACCTGACCCTTTTATGACGTGTGCCTGGCTGAGGAATTCTGGGAGTTGAAGTCCACAAGTCATAAAAGGGCCAGGTTTGAAGACTCCTGCATCAGAGGGACCACAATTCATTCTGCCAAAACACTGGAAGGCAGGCGAAAATTCGGTCCAAATTTTGGAATAATTCTTGGCTCAGGATTTTAAGATACAGGCCCAAAATGTTACCTTGAGGACAAACAGAGGCCGTTTTTCATAGGTCTCTCCAATCTTGAGTTTGCTCACGATCTGCGGGTGCTCAGCCACGATACTGTCCATCGCTCGGTAAATCTAAGGAGGACATAAAGGAGGAAACAGGTGGAATTTGGGGGCAGGCAGAAAAGGATACACACCCCTTGACATGAAACCATCTCATACAAAGTTAAATTCACAGGTTTGATGTAGAAGCTGCCTTTTTAGTCTAGACCAGGGTTTCTCAAACTTGGCAAGTTTAAGATGGGAGGACTTCAACTCCCAGAATCCTCCAGTCAGCATACTTTAAGATGGGAGCAACTCCCAGAATTCCCTAGCCAGCCTGATTTAAGATGTGTGGACTTCAACTCCCAGAATCCTCCAGACAGCGTGTTTTTAGATGGGTGGACTTCAACTCCCAGAATTCCCCAGCTAGTATGCTTTAAGATGGGAGCAACTCCCAGAATCCCCCAGCCACCAATCTTAAAGCTTGCTGGGGAATTCTGGGAGTTGAAGTCCACCTATTTTTAAGCTGGCTGGGGAATTATGGGAGTTGAAGTCCACCAATCTTAAAGCTGGCTGGGGAATTATGGGAGTTGAAGTCCACCTGAGACGATACGCAATCACGTCAGCCTCTCCACAGTTACGTGATCCAAATTTGGATGCATCTTCCCATGACGGCTATTGGTGACTTTCCAAGCTGGCTTCTGACCAGCAAAGTCAATGAAGCTCGCTTTTAACAACCAGCTGATTCATTTAACAACCTGCAATGATTTTCTTAACGACCATTGCCCCCCCTCAAAAAAATCATAAAATCAGTTGTGGGTCACTTAACAACCACCTTGTTTACGGATATAAATTCGGGCCCCAATTGTCTTATGACTGCCTCCATAGAACGGTCCACCTCAGTGAGAAACCCAGGTTCAACGCATTCTCAAGTGACTCACCGTGTCCAAGTTATGGTAAGCGCCGTAGTTGAAATTCTTCTGGCCAACTTCCCGTTGACGGCTAAGGCGCATCTCTCGAGATTCTTCATCCAGCAGGGCCTGCAACAAGAACGGGGGACAAGGAGACAGTCAGATTTGCTTGCAGTAGGTTGTTCGTCACTGATTGTGGGTGAAGTTGTGCGGGCCACACACTCTCACCGGTGGCGATTGTGGAAAACATTAGTGGGAAGGAGGCTGTGTCCCCCAGCTTGACTCTTCAGAGCAATGTTCCTCAGTTTTAACCACTTGAAGATGGGTAGACTTCAACTCCCAGAAGTCCCCAGCCAACCATGCTGAAATCCACCTATCTTAAAACTGGCCAGGGAATTCTGGGAGTTGAAGTCCACCTATTTTAAAGCTGGCTGGGGAATTCTGGGAGTCCATCTAACTTAAAACTGGCTGGAGGATTCTGGGAGTTGAAGTCCACCTATTTTAAAGCTGGCTGGGGGATTCTGGGAGTTGAAGTCCACCTATTTTAAAGCTGGCTGGAGAATTCTGTAAGTCCATCTAACTTAAAGATGGCTGGGGGATTCTGGGAGTTGAAGTCTACCTATCTTAAAGATGGCTGGGGAATTCTGGGAGTTGAAGTCTATCCATCTTAAAGATGGCTGGGGATTCTGGGAGTTGAAGTCCACCCATCTTCAAGTTGTTAAAACCGAGGAACCCTCATCCAGAGGAACACAAATAAACCTCTCACAAATCAACACATAAACCCACCCTTGCCATACTCCACCCAATGCCCAGACCGAGCATGATTGTTATTGTGTTTCTTAGGAAGGGGATCGATGGGACATGTGGTCCAAATACAATGCAGGGAGAATATTTCCATATAACAAATCCCATTTATTGATTCCCCCCCCCCATTCTATCATCGTACCTGCACATCTTCAATCAGGATGGAGTACTTAATCTGGTGTGACTCCAGAAAGACTTTAACAGCCTGGAGACCAGCAAAGGGCACCTGGAGATCGACGGGTTCATCGGGGTGCGAAGGAGAACGCCAGAAATTCAGCTGAGAAGAACGAGTAAAGCCGGTGAAGGAGGCAAGGTAAAAGCATGGTATAAAAATGACAGAAAAATCCCCATTTGTAAAGGAAAGGGGTACAGGTAGTCCTTCTCAACTTACAACAGTTCATTTAGGACTGGAGGCTAAAACATATGAAGAATAGTTGCTGGAATTGGGGATGTCTGGTTTAATGGAGAGAAGGACGAGGGGAGACATAAATTATTATTATTATTATTATTATAGCAGGGTTCCAATCTCTCAGGGGCTGCCCCAAAGAAGAGGGAGTCAAGCTATTCTCCAAAGCACCTGAAGGCAGGACAAGAAGCCACAGATAGAAACTCATCAAGGAGAGAAGCAACCTAGAACTAAGGAGAAATTTCCTGACAGTGAGAACAATTAACCAGTGGAACAACCTGCCTCCAGAAGCTGTGGATGCTCCAACACTGGAAGTTTTTAAGAAGAGTGTCAGGAAATTTCTCCTTAGTTCCAGGTTGCTTCTCTCCTTGATTGGTTTCCATCCATTGTTTCTTGTCCTGCCTTCAGGTGCTTTGGAGAACAGCTTGACTGCCTCTTCTTTGGGGCAGCCCCTGAGATATCAGAACACTGCTATCCTGTCCCCCCTCGTCCTTCTCTTCGTTAAACTAGACCTACCCAATTCCAGCAACCATTCTTCATATGTTTTATGGGGCAAAACTCACTTAACAAGTTGTCTTGCTTAACAAGAGAAATGGGGGGCTGAATAGTGGTAGTAAGATGGAGGATTACCTGGTCCTGGAATTGTTACCCTTGTGCAAATTCCTGCCTGAGCAGGGGGTTGGACTAGATGACCTCCAAAGTCCCTTCCAACTTTATTATTATTATTATTGATCATCGCACAGTCAGCCAGATGTTCAGACTGGATTTGGCATTTTTGTCTGCCTATCGAGTCCTTACCAAGGACCTGGATAGGCAGATGTGGATGTATTACAGATATCGTGGCAGGATGGAAGCGGTTCCTAGTAAGGCCGCCTTTTGCAGTTGACTGATGGCGAATTTGTCAATGCCGATGATGGTGTTCCAGGGGTGCTCCAGCTGTTTTGGGATTGCACCCAAGGCGCCTATGACTATTGGTACCACCCTTGCTTGCCTTTACCACAGTCTTTCTATTTCTAGTTGTTGTTGTTATTATTATTATTATTATTATTAATTCACACACCTGGAGATGTTTCAGGCCTCCCAATTCTTTCAGCAAATCCACCTGCTCCTCGTTGCACGGCTTCAGGTGGAGAACCTGGTCACTGAAAGAGCCCAAAATCAAAGCAATGGGATTAGTGGTTCGTCCAGTTTGCCCCGTTGTTGGGCGTTGTGTATTCATTTGCCCCCGTCATCGGGTGTCGCCCTTTAGGAGGTCAATCCAACTGGCGGTGGAGGCAGTTTTGGGGATAATTACACCATGAACACAAGAGGGGGGGCATTTGCAGAGGTCTTACAGGCAGTCCTCGACTCACGACTGCAATTGAGGTCAACACTTCTGTTGGTAAGCAAGACAGTTGTTAAATTATTTTCCCATTTTACAACCTTCCTTGCTGCAGTTAAGGGAATCGCTGCCATCGTTAATAATAATAAAGTTGGAAGGGACCTTGGAGGTCATCTAGCCCAACCCCCTGCTCAGGCAGGAAACCCTATACCATTTCAGACAAATGGCCGTCCAGTCTCTTCTTAAAGACTTCCAGTGTTGGCGCATTCATGAATTCTGGAGGCAGGTTGTTCCACTGGTTAATTGATAAATGTCTCTCCATTGTTTCTTGTCATGCCCTCAGGGGCTTTGGAAAACAGGAATAAATAGAACAGAAATAAATGGATTTCTTCCTAAAATCCGAGGACATTTGTGAACGCAGCCGGTGGACAGCCCAGACTGCCGCAAAACCTTCGCCGAAGGATTGCACATCCCATCAAACCGAGGTTTACTGAAACCGGAAGTTTCCAAGAAGAGACTGGACAACCCTTTGTCTGAAATGGTGTATAGGGTTTCCTGCCTGAGCAGGGGTTGGACTAGAAGACCTCCAAGGTCCCTTCCAAATCTTGTTTATTCCGTCGTCTTGTGTTTTACTGAACGCCTGAAACACACTACTGTGGTAATCCACAATCAAGCAGGCCACATGACCGCTTAGCACAATGCAGGAATCCAGCCGGCACCTACCAGGTAATCCTAGGAGAGTTTGAAGGAGTCCCTTGAGGTCATCTAGCCCAACCCCCTTGCTCCCTGCAGACGTCCAAATTAAAGCATCCTCCGCAGAGCTTTCACTTCAACAAATCCAGGAACGAGAACCCACCAACACGCTACACCAGGTGTCTCTCAAACGTGGCAACTTTTAAGACTGGTGGACGTCAACTCCCAGAATTCCCCAGCCAGCTATGCTGGCTGGGGAATTCTGGGAGTTGAAGTCCACCGGTCTTAAAAGTTGCCACGTTTGGAGACCCCTGCACTAGGCAATTGGTGCATTCTGACACAGACCAGCATACAAGCCAGCTTACCCTACAAAGGTTTCCAGGCTCCAGGTGACCCCAAGCAAAGCTCCCAACCACAGGATCAGCTTCATGGCGGAAAGTTCCAGAAACAGGAGAATGGAGGGTCCAGGTGGGCTAGTATTTATTGGGAACGTGTCCCCGCTAATCTACTCCCAGGTCATGTTCTGAAAGGGCCGCATCTGCTCAGGTTCCCAGGTAGGAGCAACGCCCTTGCAGGACTTCTCGCCAAGAACAACGCAAGAGCGATAATGAAAGGTTAGGAGAATTGTTTGATTAGCAACACCCGTGTAGCCACACACACACACCCCATCCTCGGTCCTCGAATTGCCCAAGGCTAGTTCGGCAAGAGCGGATTGTGACTCAGAACTTTTTCCCCCTCCTCCAGGGGGAAACACATACTTTTAAGGGAAGGTTGAGTTGTGGGTCCAACCTTTAAGGGAAGGTTGAGTTGTGGGTCCAACCTTTAAGGGAAGGTTGAGTTGTGGGTCCAACCTCACAAAAGGGTGAAATAAAAGCTGAGTCAGCTTTCTTGTTGTCTTCTTTCAATGTGGGCAAAAACTTTGAGGGGCAGACGACTGGGGAATTCTGGGAGTTGAAGTCCACCCGTTTAAAAGCAGGCTGGCTGGAGAATTCTGGGAGTTGAAGTCCACATGGCTTAAAGGATGCTGGCTGGGGAATTCTGGGAGTTGAAGTCCACCCATCTTAAAGGATGCTGGCTGGGGAATTCTGGGAGTTGAAGTCCACCCGTCTAAAAGCAGGCTGGCTGAGGAATTCTGGGAGTTGAAGTCCACCCATCTTAAAAGAGGCTGGCTGGGGAATTCTGGGAGTTGAAGTCCACCCGTCTAAAAGCAGGCTGGCTGAGGAATTCTGGGAGTTGAAGTCCACATGGCTTAAAGGATGCTGGCTGGGGAATTCTGGGAGTTGAAGTCCACCCATCTCAAAGGATGCCGGCTGGGGAATTCTGGGAGTTGAAGTCCACCCATCTCAAAGGATGCCGGCTGGGGAATTCTGGGAGTTGAACTCCACCTGTCTTAAAGCATGCTGGCTGGGGAATTCTGGGCGTTGAAGTCCACCCATCTTAAAGGATGCTGGCTGAGGAATTCTGGGAGTTGAAGTCCACCCATCTTAAAAGAGGCTGGCTGGGGAATTCTGGGAGTTGAAGTCCACCCGTCTAAAAGCAGGCTGGCTGGGGAATTCTGGGAGTTGAAGTCCACCCATCTTAAAGTGGCTGAGTTTGAGAAACACTGTGTTAGAGCTTAGCCTCTCCCTTACTACATTTTGAAAAGATCTGGCTTTCTGCCGGATCAAAATCCCTTTGGGATTGATTGCTAATAGGATCTTGTGTTATTGTGACTATACATTTCTACCTATTTTGTTTTTAATCCAATTAAAGTATCAGTTAATAATGTTCAGAACCGCAGTGCCGAATCTCAGCAAATAAATGTGCTGCTTTCAACTGCAAAATGAAATATATCAGGATCAGAGGTGCAGAACTGCTGCCATAGAAAGAACAAGCTAGCAAGGTTTAGGCATCACATTAAATTACAGTGTGGCTTATTCAGTTTGGGTTTAAGGGGTTCAGTGACCCCAGAGTTATTGTGGTTTACAAACAGGGTTTCTATTTTGAAGAAACCCACCATAGTTAACAAGCCATGACACAGGAAAGTGTGCAAATGCAGGCACTGACAAAGCACACATACACTCAGAATTCAAATGTATTTGTGGCCTGAACCTGTTGCTTCCAAGTGTGTGCCCATTTTCCTTTTCTTGAGAATTTTAAAATATATATATATATATTTTAAAGGAAGGGACGATGCCCAGTGCTACTTCTAAGAAACTCAAGACACGTCGGAGTGTATTGCCATTCTTTTCCAATGATAAAGTTTATATAAAAAAATGTTTTTGGGATATTTAACTAAACACGGAGCTTAAACCTAATGCATATGCTGCACAGCTGTCACAATTCACAGCCTGTCCGGCCTTGGGAGGGGATCTGGCTGGAAAAAAAAAATAACACTGCATGCTGAATGTAGTAAACGCACAGACACACACACAGGCACACAAATTCACACACCTACGACACACGTACACATACTTCAAGGTCAGGGTACAGAGTCTTGCAGCCTACCAGCACCTTTAAAAGCAAAATGTTTGTGTTGCAAGTAATGAGTGTGACGCAAAACTAGCAAGATTAATGACCTAGCAGTGTTGTTAGACCATTGTAAAGTCAGATAACACACATCAGAGGTCTCCCAACTTGGCAACTTTAAGATTTGTGGACTTCAACTCCCAGAATTCCTCAGCCAGACAGGGGAATTCTGGGAGTTGAAGTCCTCACATCTTCCTGGCTGGCTGGCTGGCTGAGGAATTCTGGGAGTTGAAGTTCTCACATCTTCCTGCCTGGCTGGCTAGGGAATTCTGGGAGTTGAAGTCTTCACAGCTTTCTCTCCAGCTTGCCGAGGAATTCTGGGAGTTGAAGTCCTCACATCTTCCTGGCTGGCTGGCTGGCTAGGGCATTCTGGGACTTGAAGTCTCCACAGCTTCCTGTCTGGCTTGCTGAGGAATTCTGGGAGTTGAAGTCTTCATATTTTCCTGCATGGCTGGCTGGGGAATTATGGGAGTTGGAAGTCCTCCCATCTTCCTGTCTGTCTGGCTGGGGAATTCTGGGAGTTGAAGTCCACAAGTCTTAAAGTTGCCATGTTTGGGGACCCTGATGTACTTCAACCAATCCACACTTTTACAGCTGTGTGAAAAAGACCACCATTACTTACAATGCATCTCTATCTTTTATTGATACGAGTCATCCGGGGCTCCGGCCCAGCAGGCTTACCGGCCCACCCAAAAGTGCCCCCCAAAGTGGCTTGGCCAGCACGGGGATCCCCGAAAGGCCTCTTTGGCCGGGCCTCAGTTTTTCGTGCTTTGCAAGGGTAAATCTTTGTTGTAGAAGTGCTGCACCAGCCATTCGCGCGTCCGCTTCGCTTTGCAACGCATGCAGGGCTGTTGCCTCATCCAGGAGGACTCGGGGTCCCGGGGGGTCTTGGCCGCCCGCTGCTTCTTCTTCTTCCGGCTGGCCTGGCTGACGCTGTCGCCCGTCTGGCTCCACTTCCAGGAGGATAACTGGGAATCCGGGCTGCCCGTGCCCGAGGAATCGCTGTCGCAGAAAGTCTGCTGGCTGAGCAAGGAGAGACGCTTCTTCAGCCGTTTTTTGATGGGGGGTGAGACTGGGGGGTCCCCGGCCTCTGGGTTTCCTTTCCCCCCAAGGATCTTCCTGAACAGACCACAGAGGGTGATCTTGCAGTGACACTGGCAGCTGCACCCTTGGCCCCCTAGAAGCAGGAGAGAAAGGGACAAATTGCAGGTGGTCCTCAACTTATGACCATTCGCTTAACGACCGGAGTTACAACGGCACTGAAAAAAAGAGACTTATGCTCAGTCTTTGCACACACTTACAACTGTGGCAGGATTCATCATGCGATCAACCTCTGGGCGCTTGGCACCTTGACGTACGACCACAACTGAGTGACCATTCAAATTTAGATAGATAGATAGATAGATAGATAGATAGATAGATAGATAGATA